TTTGTGAAGAATGAATGTCAACCAAAAGAAATGCATTGAAAAGTACAAAGACCTTTAACACAAAAAAACACTTCATTATATTACGATTATTTTTATTGTTGATAAAAATTTGCATTTGATTAATTCATGTGACGTCAAAGTCCCATAATAACGGCAGTCACGTGTTTCCAGCCAAACAGTTCATGTGCTTTGCTATTGCCAATTTTGGCTTTCTACGGAAATTTTCTTTTACATAATTGTCACAGATAATAATACTAGTAGGTAATAAAATGCACTTGATTCAAAAGAACAAGCATAATATAGTACAAATTTTAGTAATCAAGTATAAATTTTAATAATCAAGAATAAATTTTAATACTTGAACACCATTACCCAATTAATTATAAAATTTAAAATTCCATCTTGTAACGAATGGTAAAAAGACGGACAATAGTGGCTTTTGTAGACCTATTCTAACTGTATGGATACTTAATCAGTCAGCCCTGTCAGCTCGGTGAAGAAAGTAGATGCCGATTACCACGCACCAAAACCCCTCGTTATTTTGTATAGTATTAACTATTTTTTATGTAATTGTAACTGTGCTAAATTTGAATATAAATTATTTTGAATTTAAAAAATGATATTAAAATTATAGGAGCTAACCACCGTAGTAATTTGAGTGCAGGTTATAAGCTTAATTTTTATAAGTATTATCTTCAGTGATGGTTATCAAGTAATTTCGCAATCTTAATTTTACAACATAAACAAATTTGTCAGTTTTCAATTCAATGGGAAACATGTGATTGTATACATCACGTGATTGTCGTGAATTAAGCCTACTGCTGAACATTTCTGGTAAAATGTGCATGTTGGCTGTATATCTAGTAATCTTAAATTGCAATCAAATTATTAAAAAAAATATTACGAACGAAACACAAGAAATATGTTTGTTAAATTCTGAATTTTGCTTACGGTTTCTAAATGACTAAGTCGCAATGCAAAATAAATACACTTTAATGAATTGTGTCATCTATGTATAAGTCTCAAAAAATAATTTAACTCAAAAGATAAAAGACTGCAGAAATCGTTCGGAAACTTCAAAACACAAATTAATAATGGATTACACGTTATAAAAACTTAATGGATGAATGTATTCCATCTATTTTTTTCAATCGAATTCAAAATGCTTACTGCTTAAAATTTAAAAAAATGTTTTTAAAAATGTGATTTATTTTTTTGGATATGAAATTTTAAAAATTAAAATTAAATAGTAATATTTGCAGAAATCCTTCTATTTCAATCGAAAGCATTTGATGTTTCAATTATTTATTCACTATTAATGCAGTAAAAATTTTTGATGCATGAAATTAAAAATACGATCATTTATTTCTAATACAAGACATCCAAGTTGTCTCACATTTAGCATTATATTACTTGTCCATACTTTTCCTTTAATATTTTGAGAATTAGCAGTTCCAACGTTCCCCAGTGTTTCTACACGCAGCATCAGAACTCGAACTTATGACACGCTGGTCACTTGTCCACTACCATGACGCCACCACCGGGATTTTCATGAAAAAACTGAAAAGATGTCAATAAGTTTTATAAAATTTTTTCTGATTGAATGTTTATTAACGTCGCACTCTAAAGCAACCCGAAGGCTTTTTACGGTGGACCTCATAATTTCGAGCCACAGTCAAATGACGAGGACAACACCTAAGCTGACATTTCACACTTACATCCACGTCCTTCCAATGTGAGAACTTAGAGCCACGCCCGATTTAACGTGCATCAGTCCCTCAAAACGGTGCGTCTGTGGCGCGTGGTGTGATATCTATATAAATCAGTACTAATCATCACGCGAAGACAATCGTTTTGGCGTGATCGCTCAAGTACCCGCTTACAAAACAGAAAATGCTCTGATCGAAGCTGCCTTCCTTCATTGGTGACCCTGACCGTACAAAGGAACCACCCCCTTCCCGCGCAGCAGTCGGGGAGTAATCTATCCACCGAAAAAGCAACCAAACCGTCAGACACAAAGCCGTCTCACACAAATGACGCAACCCACAAAGGGACGCAACTGCTCACACGCTCTCCACGAATATGGTATCGTTCGTTCGCCAGTTCGCCGAATCACTGGCATGGGGGTAGTGTGGCGTGGTGTGATATCTATATAAACCAGTACTAATCATCACGCAAAGACGATCGTTTTGTCTTGATCGCTGAAGTACTCGCTTACGGAACAGAAAGTGCTTAGATCGAATCTCCCTTCCTTCACGTCTTTAATGGCATCAGGACTCAAAAAGGCGGCCCACGAACTTATGACTGTACCTGCTAGGCTGCCGCACCCACAGATGCTTGGTACACGCTTGGTACAGAAGTGCTATAGTTACCAGAAGCACTATTATTCTGCCAGTTTTGAACTCTGGTGGCATATATTTAGAGATAGTACTATACTAATTCAAAAATACCAACAATCGAATGTTTCAAAAATTTCCTCATAATTATTTTTTAATCGTAA